TCTCTCTCTTTCTTTTCTTTCTTTCTTTCCTTCTCTCTCTCTCTCTCTCTCTCTCTCTCTCTCTCTCTCTCTCTCTCGCTACAGTGCTATGGATTGAACCCAGGGCCTTGCACATTTCCGACAGTGCTCTACCACTGAGCTACATCCCAAGACCTTTTTATTTTTTATTTTTTTATTTTTTTTGGTTTTTCTCTGGTACCGGGAACCGAACTCACGACCTTGCGCTTGCCAGGCAGGCGCTTTTGCCACAGAGCTAAATCCCCAGCCCCGTAAGACCTTTTTAAAATTTTATTTTGAGGCAAGATCTCACTAAATTGCCCAGGCTGGGTTTGAACCTGCAATCCTGCTTGAGCCTCCCCAAGTGCTGGGCTATAGGATGCACCTCCGCGCCCAGCTTGAATTTCTCTACTGCTAACAGCAGCATGAAATGACTCACTCTTTCCAGAAGGCAGATATTAGTACAATAATAGCAGATATTCACACTGCTTTTATGTTCAAGGCATGTGATATATTATCCATACGTTTCCATGTATATTCATATACATATATATCTTGGCATATATAAGTACACATATACACACTTTTATCCTCGGAGCAATCCTAAGGCGTGAACTGTTGCTGTGCCCATTCTACAGAAGTGGAAACTGAGATCTTAAACTAAGAGTTCAGTAACTTGCCCAAGTCATACACCCTGCAAGTGGGGGAGTCAGGATTCAAACTCAGGTGCACTGGCTTCTGAGTCCATGCTAGCAACTTTATTTTTATGAATATATCCATAAAGACATAATTAGATATTCCAACCTTTATATACAGAAACGTTCATCAAGATAATACCTACACATTAGTAAAAGATGGCTTGGCACGAGGAAATCAGTTATAGGATACTGGAGAACGCTATGTAGCCTTTAATACACATGTGGGGAAAACGTCAGCAACAAAAAATGCTCACAGCAACTGTTAAGTACTGAAGCCCAGACTTAACCTCGCAAGTGAAGCTAGTTATATAAGTGACACACAAGGCTGAACAACTTGGGGCTCAGCGGACAGGATTCCACATCAGACACTGGGATGCTGGCCTCGCCACCTGCCTGAAACATGATGCTGGGCAAATCACTTAACCACTTTGGGCCTTTGTTTTCTCATCCACAAAATGGGGTCATAACACCTGCACAATGTTCACAAAGCTGTCGGCCAGCACTGCTCAAACACATGATGCCCACCAGGGCGGGGCCTCTTATCTCGGTCATCGGAGAAAGGGGAAAGGTAGGCTGAGGTCTAAGAACCCCATGGCGCTGTCTCCACCCCTTTCCCACAGCTCTGCCAGCAGCCACCTGCTCATGCGGCTCCCTGAGCCTCCCCTCCTGCAGGCTTCCGCCCCAGCGCCTCAGTAATCCTCGCTAATTCACTGCAGAAGGGTGGGCCAACCAGCATCACAGCATTTGGCTGCCCCAGAGTGGAGTCCCTGCCCGCCTTGCGCCAGGGCCTTGCATCCCGCCGAACCCCCTGCCTTTGCCAGCACCCCCGGGGGCAGCACCAGGCCCCCCACAGGCCTGGGGCCCAGCCAGCTTCTCAGGCAGCCTAAGGGGCCTTTGCAAATCTCCCCAGACATTTCACCTCTGCTGAAGTCTGTTCTGTCTTCTGGCTACTCCTTGGATAAAGTCCAAACCCCCGCAGAGCAGCAGTGCTCCCCAGCATTTTCCTGCGCTGTCACCAAGTTGCCCACCACCCTTTGGACCTCGGTTCTGTTTTCCCGCCCCCTAGGAAGGTGGCCCTCACCTCCCAGGGCAGATCGAGCCCTATGTGGGGGACTCTGAGCGGCCCACACCTGTCACATGGGGCCCCAGAGCCATAGCCACAGTGTAGCTCCTCCACTTCTTGTTTGATCTGCTTTTCTTTCTGGCTCTCTGCCTCTGCACTCCTCAAGGGCAGGGACGCTGCCTCTCGGTGCCCTGCTGAACCTGGTGCTTGGCACAGGCTGAGGGCTGACTGGGATGCCCACCCCGCTGCAGCACTTCCCACAGCTGGCACTACACAACAGACAAGGAGGGCACGCTCAGCCACTCCTCGGGAGGACTCGCCGTGCCAGCTACTGTTATTACTCCACTTTCTGGATGAGGACACTAAGGCATGCAAACATCAAATCATTCGCCTACAGTCACAGAACTAGGAGGTGAAGAAGCTGGGATCTGAACTTGAGCCACTGGGCCCCAGCGTCTGTGCTCTTCACCACTGCGCTTTCCAGAAGCTCGCTGGATATTTATTTATTTATGTATTTATTTATTTATTTATTTATTTATTTATTTATTTATTTATTTTTTAGTTTCTTTTCGTTTTTTTCCGGTACCAGGAATCGAACTCACAACCCTCCACTTGCCAGCCAGGCGCTTTGCCGCTGAGCTAAATCCCCAGCCCTGAAGGTCACTGGATAAATGAATCCACCCAGTGACTCTCCCCTGAGCCGCCTTCCCAAGGCTATGCCCAGAGTCCTCAACCTCAACTCCAGGAGGAAGCTGGAGCCCTCTTTTCACCAGATAGGAGCGTGGCCCTCAGGGTGAGTGAAACCCGGGCTGACTTTCCAAAGCTGTGGAACCCCCACAGCTCCTGCCGCAGACAAACCCCAGGACCCCATCCCTGGCAAGTGAGGGACCCGGGCGTCTCACCTTGCCCTTGGGCTGCCACTCCTGGGGACTTCAAAAGGTAGACGTTCCCTCACCTTTCCTCTTGTCCCTTCCACGATCTTCGCTGTGCTCCTGTGTTGCCCACCCTTGAGGCCAGCACGGGGATCTTTACCCCACAAAGCCATTAGCTCCTGGGGGAGAAGACTGAGCTAGACAACAGGACAAGGGCTAAGCCAGGCAAGAGCAGGCTGTCACCAGGGTACATGGTAGGTACTCAACAAACCAAGGAGGACGAATTGATGGGCGGCCCTGGCAGCAGCCGTGGAAGCCAAGCCGTGCAGGAGGGGGAGCATCTAGCACTGGGTCTGGTATGGCCAGCCCTGCAGTCCCCCAGGAGCACCTCAGGCCCCAAGGGCTGTGTTGGACAGTGGGGACCTTCTCAGCAAAACCCCACTTCTAGTCAGCTCCTGGGATAGCCCCTGCTTTAGCCCTATCCTGGCCACGCCGCCTGGGATCACAGCCAGCCTGGACCAGACCGAGCACTCTGTGGCCTCCCACGAAACCCTGGGCTCAGGTCAAGTGTCTAGGCAAAGGCACGACCCCTGCTCCACATCCTCCAGCATTTTATACAGGTCCCAGGGGGAGAGGCAGCGCCTGGCTCCAGCATCCTCTCTGGAACTCACACCCTCTTCCTTGCACACCTACTCGCTCTGCAAGGCCTGGGCAGCCAACGCAGGGCTTGCATTAAGCCACTGCTCCTGCAGTTAGCTTAGCAAAGGATGACCTTGGAGCTGGAGCCCTGTCCCTAAAGCTGCGTCCACAAGTCTCAGCTCCATGTGGCGGCAGGGCTCACCTGCTAGGGACAAATCTCCATGGCCACACCCACAGCTGCTTTTCTGAATGGCAGGAGAAACAGCTGACAGCCCCCCCCCCCCGTCCTGTCCTACCATGGAGTATTTTGGCAGGATAGAAGCGGGTGGCAAGGGTAGCACTGCCCTTCTAACTTCATCAGCGTCCACCAGCTGCTGGACACCACTCACTTGAGGCCTCCACCTCTGCCCTCCAGGGAGGGGCCTCGCCCTGTGTGGCCGGAGAATCACAGATCTCTGGGGGCCAGCGCCCCTGTGGCTCCATGCAAGGGCCCAGCATGGGACACTACAAGTCACATCCCCAGGACAGCTCAGATGCCACCTCTGTCCACAGCCTTAAGCTGACTGCGCAGAGGAGCCTGTTCCACAAGCCTGAAGAGCCAGATTTGGAGGCTGATCAGCCACTCACTCTGCACAGCTCTGGACCTTACAGATAAAGGCTTTCCTTAAACTCTCGACCTTTGCAGTTGGATTAGCAAAGAATGACCTTGGCCCCGGGCCAATCAAAGCCCAGGAGCCTGCACACTTTCAACACGGACACTGCCCTTCTGACTTCCAGGACTTGGCATCCTCTCCCTTGCCCCCGCCCCCATTTTTTCCACCACCTCAGAGCTCTGAGCTCCTCTGTCCAGGTACTTCCCAGGACAGCCTGGTCCTTTGCCCATTCCACGAACGCACTCAGGAGCTCTGCGGCCAGGAGTTCTCCCATCCCCAAAGTACCAGCTGCTAAGGTCTCTCCAAGAGCAAAACAGGGTATTCCAAGAAGGCTTCCCCAGAGAAGTGGCATCTTTGCCAGCTGCCCTAGATGCCATCTCTAGCTCAGAGTACCCTGAGCTCTGACTGTCTCTACCAATGACGCCCACCTGGTTCCCAAATGCAACGCACCTCAGTACTCCCAGGCTCCAGGTTCAGTCACCCAGATTAACACCAGAGAGTCGCTGTCTCTCGCCTGACATCCATCTCTGTCCTCCTCCCACAGCCCAAGTTGGCCCAGGCCTCCCCTCTCCTCATACCACCCTCACTTTGGCTTTGATCTCCACCCCAACTCATCCTGCCCATGGCATCCAGAGATCCCTCCAGAACATGATCTTTACGCATCTCAGTGCTTCTCTAAAACATGCTCTTTATAGGTCCCTCCCCAGCCCACAACCTGACAGGTCTCTCCAGGGTGCATCTTACAACCTGGTGAACTTTGTGTCCCCAGTCTGACACTCAAGGCTGTCCCCATGGAGCAACAAATTGCCTTTTGCCTACAGTCCTTTGTGGGTTCTAGGGTCTACCTGCCCTTCTCCCCCAACCTCTTCCAACCAGATGCCAAACTCACAACTCCTCTCTGTGCCTCCAGAACAGGCGAGCCTGGGAGGGAGCAGCAAGCTCAGGGAGCCTCCAGCCTGAATGGGATTCCTCCACGATGACCCTGAAATTTCTCCACCAAGAAAGCACCCCAAATGTGGTCCCCTACCCCAGTACCCACTCCACAGCCACCTCTCCAGACCCCACAGCGAATACTCACTTTGGCACCAGGAGGGCCGGGCAGGCCTGGGTTTCCATACGGCCCAGGAGGACCCTAAAGAGAGACAAAAGGAGGGTGAGAGAAAAGAGGGGTCACCCCACTTCGGACAACAACGCCTGCCACCTTCCTTCCCCCACTGCTGTGTGCCCCCCACCACATTGTCCACACCATGGTGGTCATTCAGCCCACTTCGAGGAGGCCCTGGAAGCCTGGCGCGGGAGGAGCTTCCCCATGCCTTATCTCACATCACCCTGTTACCCGACCGAGGAGACGCAAGCGCTGGGCGCAGGTGCTAGGAGTCGGCGCTAGGGGTGAAGTTAATGCTTGAAGAGGTTTGTCACCGTCCCAGCTCACCCAGCTGCTAAGAGCCAGAGCTGGGCCTCAGCCCCAGATCTATAAGAATGGAGGTCTTACCCCTAGATTTTACCACTTCTGCACACTCTCTCAGCCTAGCCCCATCAACCCTCCCAGCTTCCTTGGGCTCAAACCACACTCAGCTCTATGTTCTTCTCTAGCGTGCCTGGTACCATCTCTCCTCAGCACAGAGGCCCATGCTGTCCCCATCGCTGGGCATGTCTTGCCCATCCATCCCGGCTGGCTGAAATCAGAACCCATCCTTTGAGGCCTGGCTCAAAGGTGACCTCTTCCTAAAGTGGTCTCTGTGCTTTGGACTCCAGTGGCCTTTGGTAGGAGTTGAGAGCTTACTGGGGGCGGGGGCTTGGTCACTTCCAGACAAAGAACCCAGTGTGTGATCAGAGCCTCCCATAGACTCCTGCATACTCCAGAGACCACAGAGCAGCCGGGAAGACAGACGCAAAGTAAGTGCCCTGGTCAAGGTTGCACAGCAGTGTGCTCAAGTGAGAGAGGCTTCAAACCCAGTTTGCTCATGGCCCTTGAGTTTCCCAGACGTCTCTATATCCTGAGACAATTGGCTTGTGTCATGGCCATTTTTCCCAGCAAGTGCCCTGGCTGCAGACTTTGAGCCTGTAGCTGGAGAAGAGCCAATTACCAGGCGGGAACAGTCTGGGGCAGCGGGAGCAGGAAGGGGCACCTGGAGGGGTCCACAGGCCCCAGCCCCACCACTCTCTGGATTCGGTCCTTGTCCCGGGCCCACCGGCTCCTTGGTCTAGCTGTGCATGAACTGGCTTCCTCCCTGTCTGAGGCCAGCTCCCAGCTGCAGCCCGTCACATTCCAATTAAGGCACCTCCCTCTTCCTCCATGCCTGAGCAGGGACCCTCCCCTCCTCTGAACGCACAGGAAGCAGCAGTGTCCAGCCTGCACTCGGCCTGGGGAATTTATAAGTGCCACGTGTGACTCTCCTTCTAAAATTATCAGCCATCCCGCCCCCTCCCACCCCGCAGTCTCCTGGCATGCGGCTGGAACCTGGATGGGTGCAGCCCACAGCGCTCACTAGCCTCAGTCCCCTGTAAATGATGGGAGCCATCGAGCTCTGGAAAACCTCCTATGCCCTCCCAGCCCAGGTTCCTGTGCTCTACCCAGAGCTCAGGCTAGGTAGGATGTTGGAGGAGGGTCTTTGATGCCCAGCTTTCCCAGGGCCAGCCGTGGGGTATGCAAGGTCAAGGTGGCTGCCTCTCTCAGCTGTGCCCCCAGCGGCCCCACAGATAGTGGGCTGAAGCTTTCGGTCCCCATCTGCAATCTGCAAAGCTGGGCTTCCTGCTCCCCACTCCTACTCCCCACCCCTCTCCAGCCACTGCCTTGCAGAGAAAAGAGGCACATAGTTGACCCGGAGCCAAGCAGACCAATTCTATAAATGTTGCAGCCTAGAAAGCCTGGTGGGGGAGGGCTCAGGGATTCCCCCCACATCTTTATACAGGCTGGGGGTGTGTGTGGAGGTGGAAAGGTCAGGCCACAGGCCTCGGTGACCTCAGGTAAGACCCTGCCCCTCCCTGAGCCCAGGGCCACCATCTGCGCAGAGAGGCGGTGGGACTGTTTAATCCGGCATTCTGTTATCTTCGGAATTTTATGATCTATGGAATTTCCAGGCTAGAAACAGGATGGTGGGGGCTGGGGCAGGCACAGAGCCGGGAAGCAGGTCAGGAGAGCCAAGAGGAATGGCAGAAATGCCTCACCACGACCCCAGGTTTCATAAATGGGGAAACTGAGGCCAAGATCACACGGCTTCCTGGTGAAAATGCTCCTGACTCCCAACTAGAAATCTCTTCCAATCATTTCCCCAGCACCAAGGTACTGAGCTAGGCATCAGGTAAGACAGTGAAAAAGACAAGGTCCATCTCCCGCTGGGAGGCAGGGGTTGGCTGAAGAGAGAACAATTACCGCTGTACAGATACGAAGGTGAGTTTTGGAGTCAGAGAGCCTTAAGTGATAACCTTTCAGAGCCTCAGTTTGCTGGTTTCTAACCTGGGGATCACACCAGAAGCTATCCTTTTATCCTAGCCATGAATGGAAGAGGACTTTGCAAAGGAGACCTGCTGAGTAGAGGACACAGTGGAGTAAAGGTGGAAGGAAGTCTCAGGGAGGGTGAGTGGGGCAGCCTTCCTGGGCCTGGAACGCTAGGTCAAGGGGTCTTGTCAGGATGCTGCAGACTGCAAGGCTCCGTGGCTGGCAGTGCCTGTGATACCTGCCTAGTCCTCAGCTCTCGGGATGCACTTTCCTGGAGACTCGGATGCCAGGAGGAAATGTGGCTTCAGACAGCAGATTCCAGAGCCTTGGGCCCAGGGATCGCAGGGCCAGGTCTGGAGGGAGCTAGGGCTGAGTAATTGTGTAACCAGAACCAGCCGCTGGGCTCAGAGCTAAAAATACGCCCCAGGCAGTTATCTCTGCCAGGCCCTCTGCCACCCAGGAGCTTAGCCCTCTCTGACGCAGCCCATGCAGCTGCCTGGATCAGCATCGCTACCCAGGAAGGCGAGGCAGAAAACATAAAGGACATGCCAGGGGCACCGCCTCCCAAACCAGGCTTCTTCCTGGACACATGCTAAAGTCCATCAGCTCGGGAAGATGGTCTTCACGAGCCCCCTCCACACCCCAAATTGCAAGCATGATGCCTAGGACAGATGCCCTGCAAGAAGACACTGTCATCCCAAGCCACAGAGCACCTCCGAGAGCCCTAGTCTACCTCTAGTGCCCAAAAGGAAGATGGGTGCTAGCAAGGGTCAGGGAAGGGCCTTCGGACACACCACAAACTGGGACTTGGGCACAGCACAACCCAGGTGCCAAAGAACATGTGTAATCACTTACCCGAGGCCCCCGGGGGCCAGGAGGTCCAGGTAGTCCAGGAAGCCCAGGGGGACCCTGAACAGAAAGCAAAAAGACAGCGTCAGGAAGCGTCAAGGGGGAGCAGAGAATAGAATCAACCAGTCATTCAGCAATCCTGCCTAGACCTCTGGGCATGGAAATCCCATGGCTGGGAGAGGGGTCTCCTGAGGCCCTGTCCTAAGGAACTCATGCTCTTTGAGGCTTTCAGGCCTTTCAAATATAGTACCCACTCTCTCCCAGCCTTTGAAGCTCCCATCTTTGATCAGTCAGGTAACTTATAGTGTCACTTCCTCCAGGAAGCCTTCTCTGATGCCTTCCCCAAGTCCCTCTTTCCTGCCTAAAGACTGTTCCATTACTGGGGAGTTATCTGCTCAGACACTGGGCTCTCCCAGCAGATCACAGTCTCCTCAAAGGAACCAATAAGGCATGAGTCATCTCTATTCCCAGGGCTCAGCCAAATGTTTAATAAAATAAAACAGCAAGGAACCTCAGAGCCCAGCCAAGTTCTCTCCAGAGCCAGAGCGGAGAAGGGACTTGGCCAAGGTCACACCAAGCATCTCTGTACCCTGAACAGGCAGCATGGCATCAAAAGCGCAATCACAGGCTTTCCAGCTGTCTGGGCCTAGGTTCAAATCCTCACACTGCCACTCAGCAGCTGGGGTCAGTAATTCCCTCCCCGTGGGATTATTTCAAGGGTGGTAGAGACGGCAAATGAGCACAGTGCCTGCTGTGTCACTGGCGCTCATGTTCTCTCTGCTTCCACCTTCATCATGGCTTCCTGAGAATCTGCACGAGCCCCACAGGGGTCTCCCTGCCTCGGCCTCTCCTCACACAGCCTCTTCCTCCTTCTCCAGCAACTGCCCTGCTCAACAGCATTTACTGGCTCCCCACTTCCTACAGGAGAAAGCCCTGACCTGGATGGAGGTGCTCCAGAAGCACCTGTCTGGCTTTGTCTCTCCTCCCTTCACACTGGAAGGGAGGCAGCCGGGAAGACTGACTGAGCAGCAGGCTGACCTCTGCTCAAATCCTGCACTGGTCACTGCAGAGCTGGGGACTTTGTGTAATTCCTTCTGCCTGTCTGAAACTCAGATGCTCTCCCTTTAAAATGGGGAGCTACTGTCCCATCTACCCCAGAGGAGTAAATGAGGATTAACTAAGTGCCTGATGAGATGCGCTGAAGCCTTCGAAGGAAGCCAGGCTTTCGAGGATGTGTGAGGCCTGGGGAATTCATTTGTTTCAAATAACAGTCAATGAGATTCCAGGTTTCCTGCCCAGAATTAAAATCAGCGTTGAAAACTCAGAACGCTTTGGCTGGTAATTAATCCGGATCTCACGCTGGGCAGCCTCGGCTCACAGAGCTGGCCTGTGAGCACCACGCGCCTGCTCGTCCATAAATAAAGATCAGAGCGATCCAGACAGGCAGATAAGACACCAAGGCCCTGCAGTCACTGGGCAAGAGACCCAGGGGATGGAGGAGGAGCCGCTGTGTGACCTCGGGCAAGTCCCGGCCACCTCTGAGTATCTAGGCACGGCGGGGCAGGCCAAATTGGGGGCAGCCTGGCTTCCGTGGCACATGCAGGGCAGGGCATAGTCTCTGGTCCTGTGTCGGGCCCGTGGGGGTGGGACTGCGGCCAGTCTACATTCCTCTGCTCCTGCTTTGGTGGGAGCAGCAGAATGCAGTGTAAGATGGGGGTCCTGGGCTCCCACTAGGCACCCCTACTTACCAGCCATATGACTTGGCCAAGCTACTTTCAGGCTCCAAACTTCCACCTCTCAAACTTTCATCAAATGAGGATAATAATAGCTCATAACTGCAGATAATCTATAAAATGTGCTAATCCTTTGGCTTGGCCCGAAGTTAATGCTCAAAAAATGTTAGCTGTTATTTCTGTTAGGCCTGCTCGAGGAACTTCCCCACTCAAAAGTTTGAGCCACCTCTCCTGGCATGTTTTGGAGAAAGAGCAAAGAGTGCCCCTTCCTAAAAGACCTTGCTTGGCTTACTTCTCTCAGGGGGCCAGGAATTAATTGAATGAAAATGCTGGGGCCGAGGCTAAGCACCGCTGTGAGTATAAAATGTGCTTTCAATGGAGAGGCTCAGAGAGGTAATGTGACTTGCCCAAGGCCACACAGAGAATAAGAGATTGCACTCAAACCTAGGACCATGAGACCCATTCTGCTTCCCTGGGCAGCTTCTCCAAGGACAACTCGTCAGGTGTGTCTCTGACTAGGCATGTGGCCTTGAGTAAGTCCCTTCTGCTCTGTGGTCATCCAGGATGTGAACACCCAGAACCTTCCCACACTGGCTTTTCCTGAGTCGTGGGGGCCTCAGTGTGGTTATCAGGTAAGAGAAAAATATCAGATCATCCCACTCTCAAGGAGCAGGAGGTCAAAGCTCAGAATGGTACAGGAAGGGACAGGGTCCTTGGGGTGTGGCTCCCTGAGGAGGCCACAGCTGCAGAGGCCTGGACACTCCCTCTTGGCATTTCGTCTGCCCTCGAAATGGGGGCGTCCAGGCAGGAGCCTGAGCTCATCCACCACATCTGCAGAGCAAACTTAAGTGCCAGCCAAGACCCATGGCCTGGCCTGCTGATGTCAGCTCACCGCCCAACTCCTTGACAGGGCAGCCCGGGTCCCCACTGCTGGCCTGTAAGGGGGCTGGGCCCACCAGCTGCTCAGCTCAGCCTCAGGCTTAACCTGTCCCCACTCAGTGATTGCTTTGTTGATGGCAGCAAGGGAGGGTACCCCGCGCCCCCTGCTCTGGTCGGAGACCCTGTCTGTTCTGTAGTGGAAAAATGCTGCCGTTTCTTTCCAGGGCCTGAAGCTGGAGCGGGTGACTCCGGGATGATTCACGGGGCCAGGGTGGGATTTTCCACTCCACGCTGCAAACAACGGGGCCTCTGAGAGGGCCTGGAGCTGAGGGCGGGAACCGGGGAGCAGGCGTGTTCTGGGGGAGTCCATGGAGGCCTGGCCTTGGGGTGCGTGCAAACACAGCCGTGGGAACAACCAAGCTGCCACTCCAAGCTTCCTCCAAGGCCCTAGCCTCTTACAGCCAGACTAGGGAGCTCCTACCCCATGGAACAAGTCCACCCTTATGCCCTGATGTAGCAGCCCACCTGCCAGGCCTTGCAGGAAGAAGGCAGTCCTGGCTGGCAGTCAGTACCTAGGAGACATTTTACAGGCCTGGGACCTTGGAGAGTGAAGGCCTGGCCAGGGCATGCTGCTCATGGCCAGGTAACCCTGGGCAATGACTTCTGGGCCTCTGCTTGTGCTGGTAACCTGGAGGGGCTGGGGAAACTCTGCAAAAGGCCCACCCATCCCTGACCATCTGAGCTCACAATGATTCCAAGCATACCCCACAGGGTGCTGAGCATTCCAGTCTCTGTCCTGGTGAAGGAACTGCTGGACAGAGCTCCTCCCTAGGAATCAGGCTCTAAGTGGCCCTAAGCAAGGTAGCGCATCTCCCTATGTCTCTGGGCCTCAGTTGATCCAGCTGTGAAATGGGATTATTGCACCCATGTTCTAAGACGATATGCATGTGTGCACACTGCTTATCAGATTCATTCTGAGCCCTGGGAGCTGGTGACTTGTGCATACCACCCCACTCCTCCTGGACATTCCTTGCTCTTGGGTTTGGCTTTCAGGGGGAAGGGGGATGGAGACCCCAGAGAGCAAATGTGGCAGATATGAGAGGACAAAATTCTCTCCTGCTCCTTCCCTGCTGTGTTCTGCAGGGCCCCACCTCCTTCAGGGACCCTGGCTCAAGGTTCTAGTGCTTGTGGGGCAGTGGTAACATCTTTCCTGGCCCTGGTGCCTTCCCAGCTGGGTGCAAGAACCATTTGCTTCCAGACTCCTGTGCTTCCCCAGGCTTTTGCTGGGTCCTCAGATGCCACCTGCATCCCTGTCCACAGTCCCAGTGGCTCTAGCCCTGCCCAGAGCCAATGGACCCAGCATGCAAACCGCTCAGCACAAAGCCGGGCTCCACAGGGACCTCGTTCTCCTTGGTCCAGATGCTGCTGGTCTCAGGATCCAGCTCCAGTTTCTAACTGCCCAAAGCAGGAGGGCCCTGGAGACACCAGAGGCCCACCTTGGGTCAGGCTGCGGGCTGGGGCTCTCAGGAGCATGAAAATGAAAATAAGTCTGGAAGCTCACAGAGAAGCCCTGATTGCAGCGGTGCGAAGAGTGGGACCGTCCCACCCCAAGGCACCTCACATCCCCAGCTGGGCTGCAGTAGGACACTCTCTTCTTCTGTGTCTGAGTTCTTCCTGCTCCCCTGACCCCACCCTGTCACAGCCACAGAAATCCACAAGGACTCAGGCCCAGTGCTGGGTGTGGTACTCGCTCACCTCCCCGAATGCACACAACTCTGGAAAGGTAGGTCCTATCTTGCCTCTACTTCACAGGGGCAGAAACTGAGCCTCAGAGAGGTTAAGGCTTGTCCAAGGTTACAGAGCACCAGGCCTTTGAAAGGCACTCCACCCACATTCTTGTAAAGAATGAATGGAAGCCAGGCATGGCAGCACACACCTGTAATCCCACCACTCACTTCTGGAAGCTGAGGCAAAAAGATCACAAGTTCAAGCCCTGCCTGGAGAGCCTAGCAGTTTGTCTCAAAATAAAAGAGAAAGAAAAAGGATGCTGGTATAGCTGAGTGGAAACAGCCTGGGTTGAAATCCCAGCACTGGAAAAAAAAAGAATGAATGGATGAATTAATGAATGAATGAATGAATGAGTGATTCCACAAGGCAATGATTCCAATTCCAAAGCTCTCCACGTGGCCATGGGCCAAGCCCTCAGCCCAGTCTCCTGAGGTGACTCTTGCAAGAAGTGCTGATGCTGCCGTGACGGTGACAGTGAGTAAGCCAGGCCGCGCTGGGCCTCCTTGGGCGCGTGGCTTCCACGCAGCTTCTGTGCAGTGGCCTCCCCACCCCCTCGCCAGCCCAGCTCAGCTTTCCCACGATCCCACTCCTGCAGCTCCTGGCCCAATTCAGTGCCGGCCTCTGCCAGGCAGCTGCAGGACCCTGCCTCTGAGTACCGTGGGCAAGGCAGCCTTCTCCTGTACTGTTCTCATGTACACAGGGGAGACAGCCCTCCGAGGGTCACTTTCCAGAAATGACAGGAATCACTTTGGTTTTGTTTCTTCTTCTTTTGTTTTTTTTTAAGACAGGGTTTCGAAATGAAGTTCAAGCTAGCCTGGAACTCACTTGAATTTGCAGCAATCCTTCTGCCTCGGCCTCCTGAATGCTGGGATTACAGGCTGCGCTAGCATGCTTAACTTAAACAGCTCCTAATCTTGACCAGCTGTGGAGCAGGAGATTCTCCAGACAGGAGGCTGTTCTTCTGAGGCCCGGGATAAGGGGCTCACCTCTGAAGCCCCCACCTCCCTGAACCGAACAGCTCTGTGTGGACACTCAGCGGGGAGGGAAAAAGCCCACTGGAGTATGAACTTCACCTCTGCCTCCTGTGTGCTGTGATCTTGGCAAGTCCTGGCCCTCTGGGGGCACAGTCTCCTATCTCTTTCCCTGCCCAAGGAGGAGAGCTGAACCAAATGCTCCCTAAACACCTACCAGCGGACCAGGTGGATTCCAGCACCTTCTTTGACTACGGGGAATCTGAAGGACGGTAGTTAGCAGGAAGTGACACACGGCCCTCCCACCCCAGGGAAGAGGACATGGTTCAGGCAGACAACAGGTCCAAAGGCAGATTCTGCACCCTAAAACCTGCCCCTGCTCCATTCTGGTCACCTGGATGTGTTTTCCCTGCTCCCCACACCTCAAACGGGTTGGCAAAGAAAGCTGGCCACTCCGCTCCGCTGCGACCCCCTCCTGACCTCACGGCCAGCAACCCAGCGCACATGTAGCTAAGGAAGTGGAGCTGCTGGGGTCCAAGGTAACTGGGGCCAGAGTTGAGCAAGGGGGAAAGGTTCCTGGCAAAGCGAGAGCCCCCCCAGAGCTCTCCACACTGCCAATTCTAGAATGCAGGACCCACACAGAACACTGACATAACTGCAGAGCGATGCATACCATTTCCATAAGATCTACAATATGGTTATAATAAACGCGGCCCCTTGGTCCCCTTGGAGACAGGCTGAATAAATATTATTCCTAATGATTATTAAAACTCATTAAGTGTGTTTGGAAGGCCCAGGAATTCCCAGCATCTGCCACTGTGTTCACATTACAGGGAGCCCTAACCTCAAACCCAGAGCCCAGTAGGACACCCGGGTCTAGGAAGGAGGGGGCGGCCCCCACACTGTGGTCATCTCCAAGGAAGGAGAACAGCAGAGGCCCTGAACAAACTCCATCCCAGGCTTCCCCGCCCAGAGGAACTGACCTCCAGCTGTGGGAAGGTCGTTGCCCGGGAGACCCTGAGACCATCTCCTGCACATGGAATGTTCTTCCTCTTTCCCTTCCCTGTTTGCACCAGCCCACGCGGACCCTCCTCATCCCAAACTCCTCTGTCAGGGGCCACAAATCAAATGCCCGTGGGTACCAGCCAGGCAGGTAACAAACGGATGACAGGCCAGGCTGCTAAAATTCAAGTGGCCGAAGTGAAGACCTGTGGTGACAGGAGTACTCGTCCTGCCTAAAAGGGCCACCCAAGGGCCACCACTTCTCCCACTTTCCCAGAGAAGCCGGTTGCTGAGACTTTTCTAAGAACTCTCACATTTTTTGACTGTTAGTAACTTAGGAGATTTTCAAAAGAAGAATGCTGCGCGTGCCAAGCAAAACACATGGAGGGCTACTCGTATGCGATCTTTGTCCCCAGCTCCCAGATGAGTGCTGGGCGGGCAGAGCCCTGCTCAGGCGTAGGGAGCAGGGAGCGGGGCTTTGGAGGCTGCTTGACCGCTCCCTGGACATGACCTGGGCCAAGTCAGCTAAGGGCTTTCCTAAAGCCACTCAACCTTTGCAGGTGGGTTACAGAGCATGACCTTGGGCCTGGGCCAACCAAGGCCCAGAGGTGCTCTTTCTTGGGAGGGAGTATACCAGACCCAAGCCTGTCCCCGCAGATCATGAACGTGCAGCAGAGTGTCCAATGAAGGGGTGGCAGAGCAAAGGAGTCCCACGACCAGCGCCCTGCTCCAGGCCGTTCCTTTCCCTGTCCTCACCAGGAGCAAACACTGGGCAAAACCACCCCACTGCCACCCACTGCCACCCGCCACTACCCAAGCAGTATGTAGCCTCTCCCTAAACTCACCGGCAGGCCGCAGTCTCCCTTGGGCCCTGGAGGCCCCATCAGCAGTGGAAAAGGGGTGGGTTCCACCAGGTGGAAAAAGGAGTAGCTGCCGCTCGTGGGCCGGGGGTTGGAGGACAGGACTCGCGCTGGGGCTAACACCACAGCAGGGGTGGTCCGCCAACTGGCCAGGGACTGGCTGGGGCTGGGCCTGGTTGTCCGGTCGTTCAAGGGGGCATCCCCAGCGGCCTTCCCAGGTTTGACGGGTGTGGGCTTCCAGGTGCTGTTCTTGGGTCCACTCTTTTTTGAGGCTTCTGATCCAGTGGGTTTCTTGTTTCCAGAAGGGACAGAACCAGGAGCGAGAGTAGGAAGTGTTGTTCTGGGAGTCCCAGTGCCCAAGGCTGGAGCCACCACTGTGGCTGACGGCCGAGCAGCTCTGGTAGAGCCAGAACTGGAAGCAGAAGACGCAGAAGACGAGGGCAAAACTGCAGGCTGGGGAGGTTTGTGGGTGCTGGCACGGGTTGAGGCCAGCTTGCTGGCACGGCTGGTTAGCCTGGACTCATCCTGGGTTACTGTGGGCAAGGACTTAGAGGAGCTGGCCACGGGAGGCCGGGCACTGAGCGGCACAAGTCGGGGCACAACAGGGTTCCGCTGGACAGGCTTCGCTGTAGGACCGGAGGCCTTGGCAGGAGCTGGGTGGGGGGTGGGAGGCACAGGCTTCCGGGTGGGTGGGGCTGACCTTGTGAATGGACGGGGAGCAGTTTTCTGGGTCAGCTGAGGGCTTCTCGTAGGGGCAACTGAAGGAGAAGGGGCCAGAGGCTTGGTGGGGAGACTCTTGGGGATCTTGGTGGCTGTGACCTTCTGCAAGGATTGGGCAGCTACAGGGCGGGCCCTGGTAGGGCTGGCAGGAAAGGCTGGGGACGAGGAAGGAGGTGCTTTACTGGCTGGCAGCTTGGCAGGTGGCGACGTGGTCTGGGCTGGGCCTCCCCCTGCCACGTGCTGGTGAAGGTCTGGAGGGTTTGTCCTTAGGGGCTTGGTGGGCACGGTCACCGTGGGTCCCCTGCCTACTGGCCGTGCCCCCAGGGCCAGTGTGGCAGTGGTCAGGTTCTCCAGGCCTAGCAGGGCCAGGTCGCTCTGGAGGGCGAAGGGTCTGCCAGCGTCTACGGGGAAGAGGGGTCCCAGCTGGGGCCGATACGTGTCAGCCTGTCCACACTGCTTCCTCAGGTGAGCACAGTAATTACGGGCAACCTGCGTCACAGGGAGGACACTGAACTGGCAGAGGGCACCTTCAAACTGGACAGCGTGCGGGCTCATCTTCCCAAAGAGGAAGGAGCCCTGGGGGTCAAGCATGGAGTCCCTATGGAAAGGCAGCGGGACAGGCAGCCGGCGCTGCCCACAGGCCGTCACCAGAGTAACCGTGCGGCTGCGGAGCTCCAGTGCCAGGTGGTGCCAGCGCCCATCGTGCACGTCAAGGTCGAAGGCCACGGAGCGCCGCGGCCCCAGGTGGACAACTGTCCTGCCGGGGAGAAACTGCAGGCCCAGCTGCAGCCTGTACTTCCGGCTTCGGACAGCAAAGAGGAAGGCATGGTTGACCCGGTGGGAGCAGAGGCTCAGCACCAGTGCCAGCTCCGTGCCGAGGGCAGCAGGAATGACGGAGGCTGTGGGGGCCTGCAGCCGGGCCCGCTGAGTGAAAATGAAGCCCAACGGGAAGGGAATGATTCCCGGGGGTGCAGGGCTCTGGCCACCCCCTGCCTTCGTCCAGCTGAGGCCCAGCCGCTGGAGGACGTCCACATCTGGGAGGGAAGGGAAGAGAACAGTCAGGGCCTGCACCAGCCAGGACCCCCAAGTGCAAGATCAGTGTTCCTCGTTATTTGCTGTCTCGTCTGATCCCAACACTGCCCTAGGAGGGCTGCTGAGAATGTCACATTGTGCCATCAGCCACACACTGCAGTCTCTGGTCTGGCTACAGGGTCTTGCACATCATGGCTAAGAACACAGACTTCCTGGGTTCATAGCCCAGCTCTGCCACTTCCTAACCCTGTGACTTAGTGGTTTGGTTTCCTACCTATTAAATGGGATGACAACATGGCCAACCTCAGAAGGATGCTGTGAGGAGGAAATGGGTGAATACTCTCTAAAAGCTTCTGACACAAACATGTGTCTTTTCAAGTAATAACTACTGACACCTAAAACAATGACAACCACCAAATACGAGTGCCAGAGCATTAGAGGCTGCCCAATGGTGACCTGACTTACCTCTTTTCTCTTCTTCCAGGGTGTAGTCACCTAAGCAGGGGACCAGCGGAATGGGTGTCACCAGAGCTTGGTAACGTTGTCCAGGGGGGCTCACTGGTCTCAGCACTGCCTCAGAAACCCTCCCGCTCCCCTTCCCACTTGAAGTCTCAGGCTGGAGCAGGCTAAAGGAGCTGCAATCTGCTATCAGGAGGGAGGTGACATTTCTCCTGACTCTTCCCCTGCTGTGTGGCTTTGGGGAGAGCAGGGGAAGCAATCCTTGTTCTCTGGCAAAGCATGTGGACATCTGACCATGGTCTAGCCAGGTCACATCCGCCCAGTAATTAGGTTGGCGGGGCTTGCCAGAGCAAAAGGAGGGTTTCCAGAGTGTTTATGGAAAGGCTTCCTGACCTTGCCTCTCCCGGGTCACTTGATCTCCTTCAGCTGGTGGAGCTGCCAGTGTCTGCAGAAGCTGATCTTGCTCCCAAACTCAAGCTCTGCAGGGAGGCAGAGGCTGCTACCAGAACATCAGGGCAGGTCAGGGCCTCTGGACCCGACCCTGAGCTCAGTGCTTGCTCCTTAATCGCTGGGCGCAAGGGCTAGGCAAAGTCTGAATATAGTACTCGACACTTGCTGCCCTCAGATGACAACTGTGAGATGGACGGATGGATAGACGGATGGATGGATGGACGGACGGACGGACGGACGGATGGATGGACAGATGGATGGATGGACGGACGGATGGACAGATGGATGGACAGATAAGTGGGTAAGTGGATGGAGGGACAAATGGATAGACAAGTGGACAGATGAATGGATGGCTAGGCCACTGTAGGAAACTGAGGCCCTGTATGCTGCCAACACAGCTGAATGATTCCACCGCAGGCTCTGGAGGTAGAAGGCATGATGGAGAGCCTGACCTATGTGGCTGGGCCTGAGCCTGAGTCTCCTCCGCCCACGCTGTAAGGTGGGGCAGTGAAGAGGGCCTACGGTCTCGGGTTGGGAGGGTGAAATGGTCATCCTCCACATCATCCTCATACCAGACCTGCCTCAGAAAAGTCTACCCCAGTCTCCTCTTTGCTCTTGGGCCTCAGTTTCCCTATTTTTAAGACAAGGGAGCTGGACCAGCCCTAGAAGACGTTGACAGTGTTGTAAGGACACTGTAACTCCAAAGTTTGGTGTCTATCACTTCCGGTTGGCTTGACGTCAAGACCCCATTCTTCCCTAGGACCCATGGGATTTTCATTCCATCTCTAGCTCCTCCTCCCTGTCCTTTCTTCTACCTCTGTCTGTTCCCAGGTTCTAAACTAACATAAACCACTGTTTGTGGATTCCACTAGTAATAATAGATCTGACACATTTTAATCACTGGAACCCTCTTATTACCCTGAAATGCTAGCCACTGTAAATAAGGAAAAATGGCAGAAGCTACTTGGGTGGCGAAGAGGTGGAGGCTGCACCACCTCCCTTCACCCTACCTTGCCAGCCCGGACAGCCCTCAGGCCCATGGAAGGCACAGCTGGCCAAGGCAGGTGGCAGGAATGGGGTCCCCTATCCTCCTCTCTAGTGTCTCTCACAGCTAGAGGCCAGCCTGTTTCCAGGGACCCCCAAAGACCATCAGCAACAAAGGAGGCCAAGCCCCAAATTCTGACACCCGGAGCTGTCACGAGTCACTGACCCCGGGGGCCTGCAGGGATAGGGACGGACTGTATTTGCCCAAACTGTTCAAGTTAATAAAGTGATTAGTAAAAAGGATAAAAATAAATACTGCTTTACATGCCTTTTTCTCCTTGATTCTCTCAGCGATCTATGGAGGAGGAACTCTATTTTCCCCACCCCACAGATGAGTTAGATAGAATAATGTGCCCAAGACCATGCAGCTTATAAAAGGCGCAGCTGGGCCTGGAACCCAGGGGCCCTGACCCCTGGGTCTCTGTTTTTAGACACTATGCTATACTGCTCTGGAGCCGCCCAGGTTCACTGGAAGGCCTAGTGGAGACACTTCCAGAGTCGCGCCAGGGGGGAAGAGATGGGGGACAGGGAACGAATTCAGCCCAGGGCCAAGACGGAAGGGCCCAGCCAGCTGGCCCCAGCAAGATCCCTTTATTACATAAACCTGGCTCCGCACAGATGGGCCCTCCCCAGCCCCCTCTGCCTGACTCAGGACTCTGGACAGCTGTTCACCTACTTTAGGGGGAAACAGCAAACTCGGAAAATATGACATTTGCCCAAAATGTTGTTGGGCAGCAGAAGTCTCTTCCGGGCACGGCCCTCCCCTCCCAGGGGCCCAATCCCTGCCCAGTGGCCAGGTCAGGCGATGGGGACTCCCGGAGTGCTAGCTGCCTGCCCCAGAACGCGGTAGGCGTGGAGGGGAGGGGAAAGGCGGCTATTTTAGGAGGCATTGTGGCCGCTTGACAAACAGATGTGGGAGAGGCTTCGGTTTCCACGGGCAGCTGTATAGCCAGCCCACAGCCACCCTGGCCCCCAGGATGGTTCCCTGGGGACAGGCGGGAAAAGTGGGATCTCATGGGACGGAGAGGGTGGGATCCCAGGCCTGGGCAGGGCCAGGGTCTCCTCTGTGCAGTTCTTAGGGTATCCATTGGGGGTGCCCCTTGAGCAAACAGGGACGCCTGAGCCTGTGACCTTACTGCGCCGTGCCCCAATAGGAACACAAGGACAGCCCTTGTCCATTTCTGCCCTGACCCCTTCCTACCCATCGCAAATCTCCATGATCCCTTCATGCCCAAAGGGAATGTGCCAGTGACCAGCTCCATTCCCCCGAAAGGCAAACAGACAGTTTCAGTGGGGTCCCGGATGGCTGCTGCTCGAGGGGGTTCTCGGCCCCTTCCGCCCTCCTTTGTTCCCCGGGGACAAAGAGAAGACAGAGTTACCTTCAGGAGCTCCTTGGGTGGAGGCCAGGTGACAGGCGAATGAGACTAAGATCCAGGCGAAGAGAAACCCCCTAGAGACAGGCAGACACAAGCACACATGGCATCAGCTTCCACCCCTTGAGCCCAGATCCGGCTGTGGGAGATGTGGTGATGGCCCGGCCCAGTCTCACCCATAGGAAGCGGGAGGTGGAGGCAAGGTGCGGCATCCAGGAGCCCATCAGAGCCGCCCCACTCTCAGGACGCCCCCAGGCCTCCAGGCACAGCCTCTGGTCAGGGACCTGCATGCATGGTACCAGCATGACACTGCACTTCACAGATGGTTAAGCCAAAGTCACAGGACAGGATGCTGCAGGCAGGAAGTCCTGCACTGGTGTCAGGTCCAGCGTTTAGTTCAAAATCTGGTGCTTCCTACCCCGGACCTCAGCCTTCCCCACCTGCAGTATGGCCTTGTGGTCCTGGGTCCCTTCCCAAGGTCCCAGCCAATGGGTTGCAGGGGCTGAACGGTCAGTGGGAACACCAGACTGGTGTACTTGGGGACAGGGGCAGAGAAGACCCTCTACCCAAAGCCCCTGCTGTTCCATAGGAGCTCCCCACCGGCCTTATGCTGATGGAAAGGGAAGGGGTGGGCAACACCCAGAGGCAAACCCAGCCCTGAGCCTCCCAGTTATGTGACGGGGGTGACCTCCCCCGGCCGGTCCCATCCTCTGCAGCACAGGCTGATGCTCCTGCCCTTGCAGGCCAGGCAGGAGGATGAAATCATCTCACACAAGTTAAGGGCTCAGCCAGGTGCCGCCCACAAAGTGTCCCCCAGACCGTCACTGCCGCGCTGCAGTCTGGGGCCAGAAAGGGTTAAAGCTCTGCCTGGTGGCTCCTGCCAAGATGGGCAGAGGCAATGATCTGATTTCACCTTCCTGTGGGAGCAGCCACTGGCGACACCCGAAGCCACCCAGGGCATCTGATCCCCAAGCAGGCAGAGGGGAGGGCGGCACGTGGCCAGAGGTGGCGGGGACGCAGGCAGGGAGAACCGTGCCAGCTGGGTGGTGCAGACAGCTAGGCTGTCCCCAGAGCTGGGCTGGCTCACTGCTGGGGACTCATGTAATCCAGGAAACCCAGGTTTGATGTCGAGAGCCAGGGTTCTTGCCAGGCTCCCTGAGTGCCTTGAAAAATAAGCTCACACTCTGAGAGCTCCCCCTACTTTCCAATGTAATAGCAGTTAGAATCAACAGCTTGATGACTTGGGTGCTGGGGAAGACCCTGGCTGTCACCTGCCACAGCCCCCCCTCCCTCCTGTGTGCTTCTGCAGGCATGGACATCAGAGGACATCCGATGAAGTCTAAGCCAATCCTAGGAATCACATGTGCCATGCCAGTGACTGATTTAAGCATGCACCATTGACCCAAATGTGATCAGAAGGATGTGAGTGATGCCCATCAGGGAGGAGAAAGGGACAGAGTGTTTCTTTTTTTTTTTTTTCTTTTCTTTTTTTCGGTTTTTCTCCGGTACCGGGAACCGAACTCACGACCTTGCGCTTGCCAGGCAGGCGCTTTTGCCGCTGAGCTAAACCCCCAGCCCCTGGGACAGAGTGTTTCAAAGGGAGAGTGAGGGGGTTTTCTTTTTGCCTCTGTATTCTTCAGTGTGAACATACTGCTTAGAGCTGCTGCAGCTGTTTTGTGCATATGAGGTAACAAAGTGTCAAGAATATATGAGGATGGCAGAATGGAAAAAGAGTGGGTGTTTAATGACACCGTTGAGATGCTGAATTTACCAACCCTAGCACTGCTCTTTCTTAGGGCCTCTTGTTATGGAAAGTAATACCCCCTCTTACATTGCTTAAATCACATAGTCCTGTAACTTCTGTTACTAGGAGCCTAAGGCACACTCACTGAAATAAACGGCACTTGGGTGCTGATGACAGCCCCTCGGAAGCCTTCTCTAGGTCCTGGACCTTTGCACATGCTACCACATCATCTGGACACGACTCTGCCTGGTCAGTTCCTGTGCTGCCATCCTGCTTAGCCCTGCCTCGCTGGATGTCAGCCGCGTGGTCACTATTTTCCTCTCTAGACAAAGCCCTCCAAAGACAGAGACATCTATCCTGTTTACCCCTGTGACCCCAGCACCTGGAAGGCACATAATACATGTCCAACAGATTTTTTTTGGTCTTTTTGAGACAGGGTCTCACTATGCAGTTCAGGCTGGCCTTGAACTCACTTTGTAGCCCAGGCTGGCCTCAAACTCACAGTGATCCTCCTGCTTCAGCCTCCCAAGTGCTGGGATTACAGGTGTGCGCTACCACACCTAGCACCCAACAGATTTTTGCAAGGTGAATATTATCTGATGCTACAGGATGCTTTAAAAAGTGCCCCCCAGAGCCCCCTCCCCAGCTCTGACATTTCCCGACATAACTCTTAGCCCCTTGTCATCTCTCCAAGCCTGAGCCGGGCCACCAGCTCTCTGGAAACCACTAAAGGTCAGAGCGCCACCAGCCCTGGGGCTGCTGGGCGAGAAGGCGGGGCTGACCCTTCTGCGTGACCTGCCTGTGGGAAGCCGAGGCTGCCCCTGTGGGCCGGGAAGGAATAATGGGCCGCTTTGTTTAACTTGACAGAGAAAACTGAGGCCCAGGGGGCAGGGGCTTCCTCAAGGTGACCCTGTGCATCATTCTGCGGTCCTATCTCCTACATGGAGACACCCAGGAGACCGGCCAGACGGACTGGGAATAGCTGACCCCTGCATCCATGTTTTCACCTTGCTTATTCCCACCAGCTTGCTCCGGTATCTTATTTGAGCAGAAACATTACGATGCGGCCTGCACAGTATCCTCTCTCTTTCTCGAAGTCACTAAGTACCAAGATGTTAATTCCTGCGGTTTGGGGGTTTATGTATCACAGTGGAATTTTATTTTACTCTTTTCTTAGAAAAATTGAACGTAACTATTTTCTAATATGGAAGGTTCTCCATTCTTGTAAATAAACCATGCTGTTTATCAGTTGATAATACATCCAATCTTCTCAAAGGCTCTGAGAAGTCCTGCGATGAAGAAATCAGCTGTACTTCCTGTCCTTCAGCAGTCCCGGAATCTCGAGGACTAGGGACTCACTTTTCCTAAGAGCACCTCCTCAGAAGACACTGACCCACACCATCCCGAGTTCCTCTGGTCCCATCAGTCCCCAGCACAGCTCTCAGCCCTGGAGTCCATGCCCCGTCTTCTAAGGATACTTCCTAGGCAGAGAAGACAAAGCACTCAAACCACACATATCCTTCTTAGTCAAAGCAGCAATCAGAGGAAAGTATTTCAAATCCCCAAAGTCAGGTAGGGGGAAGAAGACGCAGAAATGACAGACTCCCTGTTACCGACAGATGTGTCACCCGCTTATTCACCTCCACGAATACAACCGACCTTCTTGGAGCAGGATTCTAGGCGCGCTTGACCCTCACACTGCCCAAGCACAGAGCACATCTAAGTCGGAGAAGGTGCTTGCAAATCATCCAGGGACCAGATTCTTATCCCACCACCTCTTTGGAGAGATGGACAACCGCGGTCCACGCGGAAAAGCGGCCTGCCCAGTGGCCTGCGGTGCTTTGACTCATCTCCCGTGGAGAAGACATGGGAGACTTGCGGGCACTTCCAACTTGCTCAGCACAAGTCCCAGCCTTCCCCAGCAGGAACAGAGATGTTGGCACAGCGAGCCAAGGAACCATCTAAGTCAGCTCCAGGCCTGGAAAGTTGGCTCCTGGAGGGAGCCCTGCCGCTGCTTTCCTCCCGTTCCAATCCTGTTTAGGCTACTGCTAGTAATGTTTAGTGCCTGCGCTGGCTTGGGCTTCGTCCTGCGAGACGTCTATTTTCACCACTGCCTCGTGAGCTTTGGCTCCACGAACCCAGGGCTCCAGAACTTTGGGAAGACCAGTGCATGGGGCCCAAGGAGGGCAGGAGGTGACCGAAATGAAAGCTACAAGCGAGGGGCCTTGGAGACACAGCCCTCCAACATGGAAAGCCAGGTGTTCCTGTCCCCTGCAAAAGGGTCCTTGTCAGCACATCAAACATGACCAGGAGCCTGTTAGGACAGTTTCTCTTCCACCCTTACCACCTGGAAACATACGTGCGCACGCGTGCACACACACACAAGGCAAGGACCTGTAACAGTCTGAACAGTCACAGAGAGCACGGAGTCCAAATCCACAGGGAAGCCAGTACTGGCACACACGTGGCTGCTCTCCCGCTGGGTGAGCTGGGATGGAGCTGGCTGGGAGTCACAGAGGGCCAAAGAGGTGGGCCTGTCCCACCTAGCTCTGCGGTCAGACCAGACCCCATGTGCCCCAAGCCTTTCTTTAGGCCACTCTCAGGCCTTTCTTCACACCTTACACCTCCTCCACGGGGACAGGGACAGGTCGTCTGTATGGACAGGACGCAGCCCATTGACTCACACACCCATAAGCAATACAAATAACAGCTGCTGTTTATTGAGCACTTACTACACGCCAGGCATTGGTCAAAGGCATTTGCAAGAATGCTCCTGTGAGCAAGCCCTCAGGAAACACTGCTAGCCAGGAACAAACGTGCTCATTTTGTGGATGACAAAAAGAAGCAGAGAGGTGAGAGGCTTGCCCTACGTCCTCCTAACGGCACGCTTGTGTTGGCCTGGCTGCAAAGAGCTTGCTCTTTCTGCCGGAAGCCTACCTAACAATGAGGTGAGCCCAGGAGCCTGCCATCCTCTACTACCAACCCATGGGCACTTCTGTGTGCCAGGGCAGGCCATGAGGGTATCAAGAGGGTCCCTGGACACAGGAATCAGAGGAGAAAATCCACCAACAAAATAACGGGGGACTTTGCTCAGGCAGCGGTGGAGAAAACAGGGACATTTTCAAGAGAGGCCCCTTCCTGTCTAGCCAAGCAGGGTGAGGGAGCACAAAAGAGGGAGAACCTTCTGGACACAGGGAAGACACGCAAGGAAGGCCAGCAGGGGCCGGAGGGTCTGGAGAGAAGGTCTCGGAGCAAAGCTGCAAGGCAAGAGGGAGCCAGGGGCACAGGGTCCGGGCAATACACGGCCGAGGAGGGGGAGAAGGCAGAGGCTGCACCTCCGGGCAGTGTGACTGCCCACTTGCCCAATGCTAGGGCCCCACTCTGGGGTGCTTGCTTGGCACCATTCCTCAGCCCAGCCGCTGGCATCTGCCCTGGCACAGGGTCTTTTGGAGAAAGTGAGTCAGCACTGTGCTCGCTGGTCCCTGTGTGAGCAAAGGGAGTTGTGGGGGGGACCTCAACCAGCGAGGTTTTTCCAAGACATGGAGAGGGGGGCACCATCCCCATTCCAGCTCAGAGGGGGTGGGGCGCGGCGGTGGAGGTGGAGCTGCGGCGGCTGTGACCAGCCTCTGAGGAGGGCCCTGGGGTCCCCGCAGATTAGAAAGATGGCAAAGACAGCGCCGTCCTGCAGGAGCCTCGGTCTGCCAGGCCCCGGAGGTGCTCCCCCTCCCCCCGGCTCTGTCCCATGCACACCCACGCGCAGTGAGCGGCTCTCCTACCCTCTCCCCGAGTGTCTGCACCAGCCGGGAATCCCAGCCTCGGCGCCAGATCCACGCTGTCAACGCCTTGGAGATTCCCCGGCCCTCTCTGGCCCTCGGCCCCCGTTTACAGCTCGGAGGCCGGACTCGGGGCTCTCCAGGGCCTCTCTGCCCTGACATACTGGCTTTCTCTCCTCTCGCTCCCGGGAGAAGCTGGGAAACACCGGACACACTCAGACCCGGGCAGACACACACGGGCGGAGATTTCCAGAAACGCGGGACTTGCTGAGCCACACAGACCCTGAGCCAGGAGCAAAACTCCGGACTTGGAGACCGAGAAACTTGTGCACAGCCCCAAAAGAACAGATGGAACCGGAGAATACCGGATGGAGACCTGCACACACCGAAACACAGCGCCAAACTCGGAAGCTCCCTATGCCCCCCCTCAAGCATCCCAAAGCGCCCCTCCATCCGGTCCCCTGCCAGACACTCGGTGGGGGAGCACCTGCCCCACTCGACCCCCGGGCTGGCCGGCACCGACCCTCCCGGCTGGCCCCGCCCCAACGGGACCCGG